TTTAATGGACTTGGGGTACTCTGCTCCTACAGTTCTGCCTTCTGCAGTAGCTTCCATATATCGCCATGGCAGAATCTGATTAAATAATTTCCTAGGTGCCCATTTACCTTGGAGTTTCTAAATCTTCAGGCCCAACCCTTTCAAATGAATGGTTTTATTGCTTTGCTTTGTTCTGTTTTTTAAACTGGGGTTTTCTGCTTTACAGCCGGGTGAACCCTCAAAGCACATTTGCTTTTGCTTTAAACTGTAAAATTACTCTTTAATGACATGAATCTCTTTGTGTGTGAGGGGGGGATGTATATGTATATGTTCCTGCACATTGATATATTGTTTATGATTTAATAAAGATGGTCTGAAGGATCAGAATGCAAAGCCACACAAGTTAGCTATCTATAGAAGCTGGGCAGTGGTGGCATACCTTTAATCCCAGGGCTCAGGAAGCAGAGGTAGATGGATCTCTCTGAGTTCAAGTCCACCCAGGGCTATACTAGAGTGAATCAGTCTAAATGATTGGCAAAGATCACACCTTTAATGAGTATAACAGCAAGGTAAACTGGAGAGGATAGAGTTAACTCTATCCTCAGAAAAAAGCCACCTTAAGAAATTCCTTGCATGGCACAAGGCTGATTCAGCTCCAGCCAAGGAGTTCCATAAACAGTTCCAAGGAGCACCCAAATTGTGCCCACCCCAGACAAAGTGACCCCATTTGGGTGGTGAGGCAATGGCTAATTTTGGGAACTAATATCTTCTCATCAGAACTGTCCTTGTGGGCAACTGTTAGTAACAATTTTGAAATTCCCCTAGCCCCCAAGTCAATGAATCCAAAGGTCATCTACTCTTACCCCAATCCTGAACAGCCAAGGCTCGTACCATCCTGCTTGCATTTTTTTCCTTTAAAAACTCTTTACAATTGAGGCCAGGCACTCTTTTCCTGTAGCTGCTGTGCCAGTTTTTTGATCAGGGTTTCTGCCAAGTCTTGTAACATTAAACCTTATGCATTTACATCAGTGAGTCGGCTCCTTGGTGGTCTTTTGGGGGGTCTCACAAACTTGGCATAACAATAAGGAAGAAGCAAAGGGTCTCATGTGACAATTAGTCTCCAGCCACATTGAAGACAGAGCACTATAGTTTAGGACTCTAAAGCTTGGTGGAGAGCAGTGTAGTCTGGAGATGCAATCTGAGGTTCAGTGGATTGCCCCTTCAATCAGAACATTGGTAGAGGTGAGAACTCTCTAGTGGCTGGCTGTTTTGCTTCTCTGATCTTTAGCTTGATCTCGAATATCTGCCTCAGGGTATTTATTATTTGTGTTACATTCCTGTGCCTATATGGGCTTACAGGTACACATGTACACACATATGTGTAGAGGACACAAGTTGACATTATCTTCCTCAGTCACTATTTATTTCTGATACTAAAATTTCTCACTGAATTTAGATAGCTCACTGGCTTGTTTGAGCAGCTAGCCCAACGGCTCCACCTTCCCGCCCCCACCCTCAGAGCTGGGGTTACAGATGCCATCCAAACTGGGGTCTTCTCCATTATGTGGCAAGCATAGTAAAGGCTGAAGCATTTCTCATGGTCCTAATTTATCTACAACTCCAACTAAGTTCACACTTTTCCTTATCAATGTGAACATTTTTCACAGCCTTCTGCTCCACTTTCTGCTCGACCCCCTGTAAACCTGCCAAAAGCAGGGAGAAATAATCACAAGGCAACTTGAATGCTACAATGCTTCAAATTTTCCTTTGCCAAAAAAATCATTAATTTTTAATTCAGAATCAACTTTTCAACACAAGGGCAGAATGTAGCCAGATGCATTGTCAGGACATGAATGCCCCTAGTACATTCCTCATTCCCCTTTGAAACCTCATGCAAAGATTTCACACCTACATTTCTAAAAACAGCTTAATTTTGAACTTCTACCTGAAAGGGCCACTACTTTTTGCTTATTGCATACTACCACTTCTCTAGCCTGAAGCTGCAAATGCTTTCACATTCCCACTGAAAACCTCTCCCAAGGGCTTATGGACCACAATGTCAAGTTTACAGCAACAGTGACTCCATTTTTCAGTACTGATTTTCTATACTGGTTATTTTCATATCACCATGATCAAATAGTGATAGAAGCAACTTAAGAAAGGAAGGATTTCATGCCAGGCGATGGTGGCTCATGCCTTTAATCCCAGCACTCGGGAGACAGAGGCAGGTGGATCTTTGTGAGTTCAAGGCCAGCTTGGTCTCCAGAATGAGAGCCAGGATAGGCTCCAAAGCCACAGCAAGAAACCCTGGCTCAAAAAAACCAAAAGAAAGGAAAGAAAGAGAGAAAGAAAGAAAGAAAGAAAGAAAGAAAGAAAGAAAGAGAGAGAGAAAAAAAGAAAGGATTTGTTTTGTTCATGGTTTGAAAGGGTACAGTCTACTGTGTCAGGGATGGTGTGGTGGCAGGATTGGCTAATACTTTGAAAGTAGGTGTATAAAGCAACTGGTTATGTCATCTTACCAAGTCAGCAAGTGCAGGGAACTGAGACTGTCACAAAAATCAGGTTACATAGATAAACTCACCACCTGTCCATCAAGTTTCTGCTTCCTAAATGTCAACAACCTACCAAGACAATGCCACCAACTAGGAATCCAGTATTCAAACCATGAGCCTGTAGGAGATATTTTACTCAACTATAACAGTAGTGAAGTAAAGAATATCTTCCATAAGACTGTTAGCTCTTTTCAGGAGATTGCGCCTATGTAATTTCCATGTCTATACTCATATATGCTCCATAAAGGACATTCACATAATTTCCATACCTAAAACACAGTTGTAAAAATTTAGTTTTAGTAAAAGTGGACTCATAAAAAATTAGCAACATAATTACTACCATAAGTATGACTTAATTTTAAAGTTGCAACTATAAGAAAAATAGAAATGAAACATATTTAAATAACAGGTTAAGAACTATGGCTGACCAGGTGGTGGTATCACACACATTCAATTCCAGAGCTTGAGTAGCCGAGGCAGGCAGATCTCTGTGAGTTCAAGGCCAGCCTGGTCTATAAAGTGAGTTCCAGGACAGCCAAGACTACTTAGAGAAACCCTGTCTCAAAAAAAGCAAACAAAACAAACAAAAAAGAACTATGGCTGGTAAATGAGTACAGGTGCTTTCTGCTAAGCCTGATGACTTAGGTTCAAACCCCAGAACCCATACAGTACCATAAAAAACTAACTCTTATAGGGCGTCTTCAGTGAGCCATGTACCCCTACCAAATAGATACATGAATAGATAGATAGATAGATAGATAGATAGATAGATGATAGATAGATAGATAGATAGATGATAGATAGATAATGTTAAAGAGCTATTCAATATAAGGAAACACTTCAAATGGATTTCATCTGTCTAACAAAATTATGAATTATATTGTGTTTTTCAAACATGTTAGAGTTTCAGACCTCAGTGTGACAATTTTTGGATACACAGCTCTTAGGAAGCTAACTAAAGTTAAATGAAATCAGAAGACAGGAAACCCCAGGATCCATGTAAACAGAGGAGAGGTCAGGGGAAAACACATGTAAAAGGCAGCTGCCTTGAAGTCAAAAGTGAAACATAGAGGAAATGTCTGCCAGCACCCAGATGGCCAACTTCTGGGCTCCAGAACTATGACAAGAGCTGACTTTTGATCTTTAATCAACTTAGTACCATTCACTGTCATATCTACCATGATAGCAAATGAAAGTCAATAAAACTAAATAAATCACTGACATAAAAAGATAAAGGACAGCCAAGCAGTGGTTCACCCCTTTAATCTCAGTACTCGGGAGGCAGAGGCAGGTGGATCTCCATGAGTTCGAGCCAGCCTGGTCTACAAAGTGAGTTCCAGGACAGCCAGGGCTGTTACACAGAGAAACCATGTCTCAAAAAAAACAAAACAACAACAAAAAAGGATAAAAGATGGTGTAGGGGAAATGTTAGCCACGCCCTCTTGGGGGCTGGCACAGGTGACGCAGACCATGCACACTGGGGCGTGGGCAAGCAAGACCTTAAATATGAGGGCCCCATGCATGGGGCTCCCTCTGTTCCCTGAGCTGCCTGGTGGTACAAGACTGACTGCCACGTGAGTACTTTTTCTAATAAAGATCTGCTCATCAAACTTGCTCTGACTCCACAGCAATCCACATTTTTTGCATTTTACTTTTAAGATGGGTCATGCATATTCATACACAGGGTAGATCCTGTGGGAGACATAGGATACATAAACTGACTCTCTGAGACATGGGGTTGTAGCTCTGTGATGTCTTTTAAAGAACTGGTGACAAAGACGTTTAAAAATGAGTCTCCTGCGGTATTCACACAGCAGCATCTGAGGACTTGCTCTAATAGAAGAAGCCAAAGTAAAGCCCTTAACTGTTGGATCAGAGATTCACATGCTATGAATTAGAGTCTTCGTTCTAAAAGTCACAAGTGGGTAGTCATGAAATTGCATTTGAATTTTCTCAGTCCTTTCATTATCATACTTCACATAGATGTCTTCATCCTCCTGTCTTCATCCTCCATCTCTACTTGACTTCTTTATACAATTAAAAAAAATGGCTATGCAATGACCCTTTGGCTAAGTGCTTTTCAAATAAAATATAATACATATATTGTGGGTCAAGGTGATTAGTAAATTTTACACAAAACATGACAAAAGTGCTCTAACTTTGCTTCTAGGGGAAAAGATTGTGTGTGTGTGTGTGGTGGGGGGTGGGTGCTTTTGATTTTGAGACAGTATCTAAAAACTGGTACCTACCCTGGCTTCGAACACATGGCCATTGTCCTGTTTTAGCCTCACAGGTGCTAGGATTGCCAGCATGAAGCTCCACACCTGGCTAAAAGGGTGGATTTCAGTTAAGAATTTAGGAATGAAATAGGTCCACAGTAAAATTTCATGTTTTTCATCAAAATTGCCCTAATATTTTGCTGGGAAACAAACAGCAATTAAAATCTATGCCACGTTTAAAACCACTTACCGTAAAATAATCCTTATAATAATCCGGTGTCAATAAGCTCTGAGAAGATTCTTCAGGCAAATAGGAAGCTCTTGTCAATGCGATGTTTCTCCAATCATAAAGCACCCTTTCTTCTAAAAATATGGATGGAAGTTAATACAATATTTATCTAAGAAGAGTACACACTGATCATATTGCTTAATGATACAAGAGGAGAGCAAATCATTTTTATGGGCTCACTTTTCTGTGTTAAAATCACATCTTGTCATCTCATCAGAGAGAGATGAAGATGCGACAGCACTGCATAGAGAGAGACTTGAATTAACTGCTTCCTTCTCGGTAAAGCTTTTATTGCATGCAGTATGCCCATCAGAAGGCTAATGGGTTCATTCTTGTCACTCATTTCTCACAAGAACATTGGCTTCCTTATTAAAAAGAAAACTTAAAATGAAATCCTATTTGTGAATGGCACATATAAAAAGAAAAAGAAAGGGAATGTAAGTACATTAAAAGAAAATACAAAAATTATTATTAAGGACTATGTCTTAAAACTGCAAAGTAACTGAAAATGTCAACAGTGCTAAGGTAAATATTACTGAGACAGGAAATGGCCATCCAGCAGAGTCCCTCAGTTCCTCTATGGGATTTCTGTTGTAATCTAGTCTTTAATAAATGATGGGGAGATTTGAGACTCACCTGATGATTTATTTCTCAAAACTACCTACTATTTTTAAACGAGAATAATTCATTTAATTTTTTCATTCAAATAAACCAAATGGTTTCATATTTCCAACTTCCCTAATTTTGACTCATATATTTTCTTTGGAAAAGGTCAGTTCAATAGTCATCTATGATGTATTACACAAGAATTTGAGACTTCAGAAGTAATTGTTTTATTTACTTCAGTTTATTTATAGAATCATAAGTTGCTTCAATTTATTCTTAGAATTATAGGCTGAATGTCTTATAGAAAGGCAAAAATGTAAATTTAAATAAGAAAAGGGCAGTTGTTAATTGCACACATGCACATTTTATTTTTATATAGTTGTCTGTTTGGCCAAAAGAGTCACTAGTCTCTATCAAAAGTTTAAAACCTCTTTAAAAAAGGAACACACTCAGTATGAACATAGGAGATTCTTTTAGTAGATGCAAATTTCAATAAGCAGCAGCTTAGAGAGAACTGATTAGATTAAAACAACCAAAGATGCTGACCAGGAAAAGATCATGTAGCTTTTACTTTAGTTGGGACATTTTTGTTTTTGTTTTTGTTTTTCGAGACAGGGTTTCTCTGTGGCTTTGGAAGCTGTCCTGGAACTAGCTCTTGTAGACCAGGCTGGTCTGGAACTCACAGAGATCCACCTGCCCCTTCCTCTAGAGTGCTGGGATTAAAAGCGTGTGCCATAACTGCCAGGCTTAATTGGGACTTTTATACACCCTCAAGAGATGCAGGATTGCACAAGACATATCAGAGGTTTGGCAAGTCCTCACACTTTTTGTAAAGCTTTCTTTTTTGAATAGTTATTTTCATCTTATTTGTATGGGTATTTTTGTGTTCATGTATGTCATGCCTGAGCACCATGTGTGTCCATTGCCCATGGATGCCAGAAGAGGGTGTCAGATTTCTAGAAGGTGGAGGTACAGATAGATGGTTGGCAGCCACCCCGGGGGTGCTGGAAATCAAACCAAATCTTCTGGAAGAACAGCAAGTGCTCTTCACCACTGCATCATCTCTCCAGCTTCCTTCTGAAACTCTTAACTCACTCAAAGCAATATCCTGCAATTCCTATTCTAATTCCTTTCCTTACTATATGTCCACAATGAGTGCTTGTATACGTCTAGTACCCAGCTTCTTAAATCATGCATGGTGACCTATGAGATTGTATACTTAAATCTCGGTGGCAGTAAAAAAATAAAATGGCAAGAGTAGTAAAAATTTTCAGAATGTACAACAACCTAAAATTAATTCAAAACCAAAGTACATGTTTCACTGTGCACCTTCGCTGCAGCTTCGTTTCTGCATACCCATGCACTCTGTTTCACGTCTCCGTGACAAACAGTGCCAACAAATGCTGCCTGAAACGCCCCACCTAGCTCAGACTCGAGATGATTGTGTGCTATGACTCGCAGTTCTTTTACTACACATCCAAACTTTTCTTCTCTTAATTACAAAAGCAGGGACTTCATTCCTCGGTGTGAAAGTCATCCATTACTTTAGATTGTATTTGTATAGGGATTGACATGTGAAACAAGCTTGTTCCTAGTTTGAACTAAGTCAATAGGTACATGAAAAAAACTGCATAGAATCTTGAGTCATAAGATAAATGAAAATCAAAACTACATAGAGATTCATCTCATTCCAGCCAGAATGGCTATATGAAGAAAACAGAAAATAAAAATGCCAGATCATGTGAGGGCAACCCAGTACTGGTAGGAATGTAAATTACTCTGGTCAGAATAGAACTCAATACGGAAGTTCCTCAAATAATTAAAATGGAATTTTTATATGATACAGCTATAATACTTTTGATATATTCCCAAAAGAAACAACATAAGCTTACTACAAAGATACTTGTACAGATAAATAAAATGTGAAGTATGCACAATTGAGTTTTAGTCAATCATAAAGAAGAAGAATATTGTGCCATTTAAGACAAAAATGTATGGAGCAGCAGATGATCATGGTAAACACAGTAAGCTATGACAAAACATGTATCACCTTTCATATGTGCTATCTGAGTCAGGGGAGATAGAAGTGCAAAGTCAAGAGGAGAGTGCTAGACAGATAGATCTAAGAAGGGACATTGAGGGTGTGACCATGATTAAAGCCCAGTGTGTGTGTGTGTGTGTGTGTGTGTGTGTGTGTGTTGTGTGTGCCTGTATGTTAAAGTTTTAATGAAATCCACTAATACATACAATTGATACATACTAAAACAAGAAAATATAAAAGGAAAACTCAAAAGAAAATAGAACTGGTCTCAAGAATTAAAGTATATGGGCAAAGCAGGAGATCTTCCTGACCACAAGTGGATCAAGCACCATATGGAATTAATACTACACAATTTATTTCTAAAGCAGAGTTTGGAGTATTTTCAAATATTTTATCCTGTTTACCCACCAGACAGACTTGTGCAGTAGAGAAGGACATGTATTATTTCCTCCAGTATGTAGGTATCACACTACAAAATATAGCTATAAGTTTTCCACTCCAGGAAGCCGTAAAGCCTCTACTAAATTATTTAAGGCAATCATTCACACACTGATGTATGCTAATGACTCCCCCTCAGAAGCCAGCACACAAGGTGACAAGCAACAAATTCCAGTTTATTCCACAAAGTCAGCCCAAAGTTATAAGCATACAGTTAAAAGAAAACCAGAGTCATATGTCAGATCAAATGATGAGAAACTTCCAGAGTCAATAATCATCTGAGATATGTCAAAGAGAAATGACAATTCTGGAGTCGAGGTGTGTGTGTGTGTGTGTGTGTGTGTGTGTGTGTGTGTGTGTGTGTGCAGGCATGCATGCATGCATGTTGTGTGTTTACATGAATTTGTGTGTGCACATGTATGGATGACTGTATATGTGTGCGTGCATGTCTGTGTGTGTGCATGCCTGTGTGTGCACATGTGTGTATGTGTGTCTGCATGTGTATGCATGTGTGTCTGCATACACATCTGCATGTGTGTGCATGTGTGTCTGCATGCCTGTGTGTATGTGCATGCCTATGTGTGCATGTGAGTGTGTATGCAGGTATACTTGTGTGTGTGCATATTGTATATGTGTACATGTATGGGTGTGTGCACATGTGTATATGTGTGTGCATGTGTGTATGCATGCATGCCTGCATGTGTGTGTATGTATGTGTATTTGCACAGGCTTCACAAGAGCAGGCTGCACACTAATAGGTGGGGTAATTATAATCTTTAACAGTAATCACACATATTAGTCAACAGGACAGAACAAAACACTCAGGGATTTAAACATCTTAGGAAATAAGGTATTTTGGAAAGAAAACATAAGGAGTTCAGAAAAAGCTGTAATTCCTGAACACAAAAGACAAGTCTCACACTGATGTCTTCCTGGTTTTGCTTTTCCTTGACTCATAATTTAGGCTCTCTTTTTAAAAGATGTTATCATACCACAAGTTCACATTATTCCACTGTCTTCTGCACATCATATCTAGGCACAAGTAAAAATGCCTTTCCAGTGCCAATTTGGCACTAGTGTGACATGTCAGCCAGCAAAACCATAAACATGAAAGTCCCCATCCAACACCAGGGAACAGAAATGCTTTAACATGGGACATTATATTTTCCCTGGGATAAAATGTTGCCACCAGATCCTCTTTCTTCAGTGTCTAATTTCTTCATATTTATAATGATAATAGTTTCTAAATATCTTCCAGGTGGAAGGGCTCTATATTTCACTTTTCAATTTTTATTCAAATTTATGTACTTAACATGAGTCAATTATTTACCCAGGTGGGAGATATTTCTAAAACCTAATAAGCATAGTTATTTTAGAAATTTAAATTACTCAAATGAGTCATAGAAAACTGGTAAGCTGTGTACCTGGGGATGTCACCAAGGTATGAGGGAATGAGAGGAGAAAGCAGAGAGCAAAGGAAAAGTATTAGCTAGCACCCCTACATTGCACACAATAGATTTGTTCAGTTCATCTGGATATTGGCAAAGACGACAGCAATTCAAACTTCATAGGGGAGGGTTCACTAAACCAAGACACTGAATGCTTTGAAGTAACAGCCCATGGAGCTTCCTCTGACAGAGCAGGATGCCCCAATGAAAAAACAATATATCTTTATTAGGACATGGCAGAACCAAACGGGTTTAGTAGTCCTGGGCCCCCAGGGCCACTGTAATGCTAAGCTCATTCTGTTTCCTTCTATCAATCCCTTTGTATCAATTAATTCTTAGAGTCAATTACACATGCAGTTTTAATCTGTAGGTAATTACAAACAATTAATAGTTAGGAGAGAGAATTAGCAGTTCTTAGTTTGATTATCTGTATAATTAAAAGGGATGGTAAGCTAGAGTTGACAAGTAGCATCTTAATAATTTGAATAATCAACCTAAAAAAGTTGCTTGGATAGCTGAATTCTATCTGCTATATTAGTTG